TCTTTTCTCTTTAAATTGTTTTCATTTCTTTGAAGACTAAAAACTTCTCTTCATAGAATTTCACATGTGGATTTGCTCTTACATAATGAAAGCACTCGCTGAACTGAAATTTAATTCACCATACATAGATTAATCATTTTGATTAGGATATTTTTTCTAATTCTGACTGCCTAGATTCTTTTTTCTTGGTATTGAACGTGGACATGTCAGGAGACGGGAAGCATTTAACATGTTACTTGTATGTTCAAACTTATTTTTGTAATCTCATTCTATTCCACTGTTAGCTTCCTTAGGAATATTTTCTTCTTTACAGTAAATATTATCCTTTGTTTTCTATCAATATTTAATAGAGATGTTGTATCTGTTTCTCTATTTCCTCTCCTGGGAAAAGAGAACTTTCTATGTAGAAAGTAATTCTGTAAGATTAACATGCTTACAGTAGTCATAAAAATGGTAATACATATATATTTTTCATAAGAGAGACATCTGAAATCTCTGTATGTGAAATATTGCATTTTTCCTATGTGAAGACATGGGAAACTATGTAAAATATAAGGTCTTGATTGAGACTATAGATAGCATCTATAGAGAAGAGAAAAAAACTATTAAAATAGATTAAATTTTTTCTCTCCTTCCCATGGTAAAGAAAGGCAAATGTGCCATTTTGTGAAACTCTCACAAAAAAAAAAAAAAAATCTGAAAAAATGCCATTTCAGTATTTCGCAAGCAAGAATTTTCACATTCACCAGAGCAGTAAGTCAAATGTTACCAAGTGAAATGACAGTATAAAATACCGATCCTACTGATCTGGGCATATATAAAAACTATCAGCACAACACAAATGGCCTTTAGACGTCATACAGCTAAAACTATTACTTTCCCTTTTGTTTTTGCAGCAGGATATTTACTCCTCTGCTTCCTCTTTGTCTTCCTCCTACTATTGATTAATATTGTTCATTTTACAAGAGCTGACTAAGATTAACTGAATATTAGAGGTTAAAAAAGTGGCTAAGGTGGCCAAAAAGACAAGACGTTTAATGTATCAAAAGCAACATATTAATGTTAGGAAAATATTTACTTATTTTCAGAAAGTTATGTCAAAAAAAACTTTTTCCTTTCACTCATTGCTTTTGCAGCTGCTATTTTGTGATGGTGATCCACTGTGAAGATGTCTTAATTTATCTCTTGTGTTTTATGATAAGAATTTTGGTAGGTTTTTTCCACACAGGGAAAAAAAAAAAAAAAAGAGAGTTACAGTTCAGCAATTAAGCCAAAGAGTTATATGTGAGTAGAGCTGTGTACTTAGCTAATTCTGTCTATACATTAGCTGAATTTGGTATCTGATTTGCACTCTGCATAAGTAAATCTCAGTAAACATTCAACTATATGAATATTCAAAGACAAAGTGGCAATGATAAAAGTGATTTTTTTGTACTCCTTATTTGGGCATTTTCTGGACACAGGAGATTCATTGTGTCAGATATACCCATACACATTCTCTGAATCACTGCTAGCATAGTATAATGAAAGTAACAAAACCACATGGGTTTGTAAGTGTGCTGAGAGAACAATATAGATGTATTCAGAGTTTAACAGAGTCATAAAAAAACCTTTATCTATTTCTTTGCTTACTTATAAAGTAAGAATCAGTTTCTCACTGGCATTTCATATATACAAAGGTAAAAGAAAATATGACACTGAATGTTCCTTAGTGCATACACAATACAAAGGTATAGATGCAGTCAGAAATAGAGGCAACATCCTACAAATAAGATAAAATACATGACCTAAGCTATGGATGTCTCCCGTTCTCTTTCTTCAGTGTATGACATTGTCATGGTTTAAACCCAGTCAGCCACACAGTTTCTACTCCTCCACCTTTTTCTTTCCTTCCCGCCCCCACCGTGCGCTCACAGAGGGATGGGTGGGAGGAGGATTGAAAGTATGTAACTCCCACAGGTTGAGATAAGAACAGTTTAGTAACTAAGGTATAGCACAAATCACTACTGCTACCACCAATAATAATAATGATAAGAGAAATAACAAGGGAAGAGAATACGATACCACCCACCAAAATGAGCCTGACTGAGAAGAGAGTGCCCTTCCGGGTAACTCCCAGTTACCTCCCAGGCATGACGTGCTGTGGTATGGAATACCTCTTTGGGTAGTTTGGGTCAGGTGTCCTGTCTCTGCTTCCTCCCGGCTTCCCCTCCTCCCTGGCAGAGCATGAGACTCACAAAGTCCTATGGCCAGTCTAAACATCTGAGCAGTAACTAAAAACATTGATGTTATCAGCTCTGTTCCCAGGCCGAAAGTCAAAAACAAAGCGTTGCACCAGCTACTAAGAAGGAGAAAAAAAATAACTGCTACTGCTGAACCCAGGACAGGCATGATGGAGAATGATGCAAGAAAGCCTACTCTTCCAAGCTAAAAGGTGAGTACCCTAATGATTTTTTTTCATTCATTAAAAATCATTTTAGCTGCTTTATCATTATCAAATCCCTCTTTTTCTATCCTTAAAATACACAACAGTCTAATTGCCTAAGCATTTAAAACTTTTATAGTGATTGGTGATTGATCTCCCCTATCCTTATCTGGACCCATAATTCTTCGTTATATTTTCTCTCCCTGTAGAGCTGACGGGAGTAGTGATGGAGCAGCGTCAGTGGGTACCTGACATTTAGAAAGGGTCATACAACACACCATAAACAGGAAGGTCTAATTCCTGACTGCTGGAAGTATTCACAAATTAAGGGATTAACTGGGGAAAGTGGAAGTCAGAACCAAATTGAATCTATGACCTGACATCAGGATGGTCGGTGAGCTAAATTAAGAGTTAAACTGATCCTGTGCCTGCTAGAAACAGATTGTCCTGAGCTTCACAAAGCTTTGAATTAGGCCTTCATACTGGAAAATGAAATCTAAGGTAGTCTGTAAAATACAGAGATGCCAGTGGATCCCTCTGAGTATTCAGTGTTCTTTACCAAATGAAGGAAGATTTTTCTAGGGTGTAAAAGCACCCTAGAATATATCCAAATAATGTATTAGGAAGTGCCTTGGGTTCCTTGTGCTATAATGTAGGAGGCAGTAGGGTACATGATTAGATGAAAGGGATGCTCTTATACATTGGGGCTCATGGGCTGGGCAGGGTGTACAGTATTAGGCTGCAACAAGAATGCATGCATTCATGTTATGAAGGCCTCTTTAAATTGGTCCCAGAAAGAAATAAATCCTTATCTAGTTCCAGTGTTGTAGGAGCTGTGGCCTCATAAAATACACAATCCAGCATGCAAGTACAGTCACAGCAAACTAAAAGCACTGGCAAGCTGCTACTGGCACAAGGTATCGGAGACATCAAGAAGGCTGCACAACTGCACTGTACACATGTGAAATATAGCCTTGACTGTGGGAGAACTTGAAGCAAGAATTACCTGTGTAAACTGTGTGCATGCTGTAAACCTACAACCAAACACATTGCCAATTCCATGCATTAAAACTTACCATTCAGATTTCCAAAAAATCCTTAGGGATGTCACACACCTCTGACTTTATTAATCTTTCTTCATATTTCACATCTTCAGAAGATTAGGCCTTCTAGGAGCTTCTAACACATAGCAAGATGTTTCCTAGGGCTGGAATGGCCATCCGCTAACCCCTGCAGCAAAGGTCTTCTGAGCAGCTCCCTTGCCTGCTCCCAAGCACTGCAGCCCCTTGCAATACCTCTGGTACCCCACACACTCTCCCCTGTGGCCTCTCACCATGCCTGTGTCCTCCCTCCATCTCTCCCTCCCTCCATCTCTCCCTTGCACCACCAGCACCAGGCACAGCCTCAGAGATGCAGAAGAAGAAAGCAAGTTAGCTGCTTCTCGCAGCCATGGTCTCACTTTCTGCTTTTTAGCTGCTTGAGTTGAAGGCAAGTTTAGTATTAATGCAGGAAGGACAGGGAGCCCTGAGGATTGCTTCCAGAATGTTCTGAGCCTCTTGAAGGGCCAGGCACCTTCACCCTTACTACACAGGAGGCTGCTATCAGCAGATGAACCTGTGAACAGTTCCAGGCCCTTTCTGTACAAACCCCAACTCCATGTGTCACTGACACTGATGCCTATTTTAGCTGAGAGACTAGTGTGGCAGGTGCCCTGTTTGGCTGTTGTTAGCTGCTGCCTGTCAACTAAACACATGCCACTCTGTGAGGTAGGTTCAAGTCCTGCATTCCCTAACATGCCACGAGTGGGTGCAGGCACACTATGCTATATACTGTGTAGAGAAACCTGTAGGTAAATCCCGTGTTGCCATTTTCTTGCTTAGTGCTGAAAAACCCAGCTGGGAAGATAGCTTCTCAGTGCTGGCTACCCTTTCACTGGAGGGCACAGGCAGTTGGCACCACAGCCATGTTCTGGAGCAATGAGAGGGGGAAAAAGGAGCCCAGGTGTTGAGTCAGGGAGCTACTTCAAGGTATTTTCAAACATATGAAGACTTTTATGGGAAGAAGAGAAGAAAAAGTATGGAAAGATTTGTGGAGTCTTTGCAGTTAAGAAGTCTGTAAAAACCAAAAGAAGATAAAATGAAGGTGGTCCAAGGGGAGAAGTTCAGCCGGAAGATGAGACAGCCTCTGAGAGGCCATGAAGGTGTATCTTAAACTGAAAGGAATTGTGAGGAAGGAAAAGTAGTACCTTGGACTAAACAGCACTTTTCAGGCTTTCACTTTTCAGTGAAAAGTCTTTACCTAGAAGCAGTGTGATCAACAATAAATACTTCGGTTGACTGTAGTGTCACAAAGATGTTCTTGAGAGATTTCTGTTAGCCTGCTTTTTTTCCCCTTTTGTAAAAGGAATGGCACTGAGATGGGGGGTGTTGGGGTGGGCCTCCAACCAGCTTAGTCCAAGGAAGCTGAAAGACTGTGTTTAGGTGCCACTGTCTCAGAAAGAAACTTTTTGTTTTTTTTTTCCTGGTCTGTCTAGGTGGCTAAAATCACACAAGAAACCTGACCGACTCATAATGGGAGGGAGAGCACTCACGTGCCAATTAGCAGAAAGAGAGTGTACATTCCTGTTATCAGTCAAATAAGTTAATTGGCAAGCGCTCACCTTTCATTCTAAAGCATCTGCCTATTCCTCCCATTCACGGGTTTTTCTTGTAAAGCAGGCAACCTAAAGAGACAATTTGTACGGCTTTTCAAACTGATTTAAATATTTTGTTACTTAAGCTTTGCCTTTTCACTGAGTTTGAATAGGACTTCAAAACCTCGTTATTTGTTCTGAAAGGAAACCAGTCTGAGGGTTTATGGATACCAGCTTGTTGCCGCCTTTAATTCAGTTCCTGGTGGGATGCTCTGGGATTCTTTGTTTTCCTCATCTTTTCTCCAGACAGCTAATGTCTTAAGTTGCTGAAACCTGATTTTATGCAAACTGCTTCGTATGTGTTGTCTTAGGGCTCTGTACAAACACCTGGGGAACCCTGCCCATGTGCAGATTAATTTGAATAGAATTGGCTATCTGCTAGTGTCAGCTACGAAAAAATGTTAGCAGCATTCTGGCCTGCTCACACAGGCTGACAGATTTCTGTTGTGTATGTAGGTAAAGCAACATATGGGGTCCTGGTGAATATACTGTTTTCTGCATAATCTTGGTGAAGCATTGCTCAGAGTTATATACATGAACACACTCTTTTTTTTTTCTGCTAACTTCCATCAGAGCTTGTATTTAGATAAGTAATGACAACATATGTTAGAGATTCTCATTTCTACGGATTATGAAACCCCAAAAGAAACATGGCTCCTTACATGGAGAATCTTTTTCACTCTAGCTGAAAATGGTAATTTTATCAGGGGATTCTTTTAAATAATTGGAAAAAAAACCACTTCTTTATTTCTTCAGCACACATATGTGAGCATCCTAGAAGCAGTGATAATTACCCTCACAGCTATTATTCCTTAAGTACTCAGAAACCACAGGAGTTTTAAAGAAAATAAAAAAAATCTCACAGAGATTTAAGCATTTTTTGTACTGAACTTTCTTTTATTTCCTCTCTCCCATTCTTAAAAACTTAACCTTCTAGTAAGCTGAAATGGCAATACCGTTATTTTAACAGTTATGAATTGAGGGAGGAAGTAAATAAAGGATGGAGCATAGTTTTAGTGGGAGTTTTGGAAAGTCTTTGAAGTGCCCTTTTGGATGCAGTGAACTGCATATAGAACTGGTGATAGATATTCTGATGCTCAACTAATCTATAAAAAAAGAATTGTTTGGGGTTTTTTTAGTATTACAATAGAAAATGGCTTTCTTTAAACAGGAGACCTCACCTGCAGGATCTAGGTTTTAAAGTAAAGTATCAGGTATTGTGAGGCTGTTTGTGGCAAAAGATATCAGTGTTTTCGGGGACATAACTACACAGGCTAACTGTATCAATAGAAACAAAGTCTTCATTTAAAACGTTTCTTGGCTTTTACTACAGCAGAACCCACATGCAGATATGTTCTCTCCTAAAGTTAAAATACTTTTTTTTTTTCTTTCCAATTTCAATCCTTGATTTGGAATAATTTCTTAAAAGGCTGGGAGGAAAAAAAATTTAAATTGTGAACTAGGTAATTCCATATACAATTTGAAATACAGCTAAAACTATGTCCATAGAAACATTATATTTCCTTTAAAACCATGAGAATATAACTAAAGAAACCACCATGGATCTCAAATCTAGACTTACTGTGGAGTTAATTTTATTTTAAAAAGTAAATGCTTTTGATTTTAGTCTTAGTCTTAGTCTTTTAGACTTACTTGTAAGTCTAAAGAGAGACTGTCAAAAGCTGTATTTTATGCCACAGTCTCTCCCACCTGAGGAAATAACATTACATACAACTGTGATGTGTGTAGTGTGGTGTGATGTGTATGTGGCATACAGCTGGCTGGCTGGGTGAGCCTGAAGGACGCAATCTAGAATATGAAGAAGGCTCCACCTTAAATCATCTGTCTTGAGGTTTCACAACTGCCCCTTTCTTGCTAAGTGACATGCTGCAACTGTGCCTCATGTTGTTGCATGACTGCAATATGTGTTTTCTCAGAGCAAATCAGAAGAAAGCTGAATCCCGCTAAAAAGTTGTACTGTTTTAAACTCCTACTAAGACACACAAGTTTAAGTATCTCAAGTTCACATTGTTATAGAAAATGTGATGGGTGCCTGCATTTGCAAAAAAAAAAAAAAAAAAACAACAAAAAAAAGAAATTTTAAACATAGAACCATATAATTATAGTATGGTTTGGGTTGGAAGGGACCTTAAAGATCATTGAGTTCCAACCCCCCTGCCATGGGCAGGGACAACATAGTATTAAATGGATGAAAAGGGGTAATCTTTTTTGACACTCCTTTCCAGCGTGTAAAGAATGTCTGTGTGTGACTGCTATCAAAAGTATATACAATCATTGGTAATATCAGTAAGGCTTGTGAGCTTTCATGCCTGCTTCCTTTTTAAATGAAAACCTCTATCAAGCGGTTGATTTACTATACAGCATCCAAGCAAGTGTGCACATGCATGGGCAGAGTCATAGACCAACTGGAAGGAAATTTGCTGCTAGATTTTTACTCAGTCAATTACAGTGTGTGATGTCACTGAAGATATCACTTTTCCTACATGTGGTACCCCTTAGTCAAGTATCTTATTGTTTTGAAAATAGGATCTTGTGATTTCTATTCCACGAATAATTTTGTGGTCTGAGATTGAACCAACACAGAAGTGCATTTCTTTTCCTTGAGATCCATAATTAATCTGCTACATCATATTCACCTTTTCTGTATGTGGCTTATCTTTCTTTTATGTGCCTCTCTTTCTTTGAAATAGGTTTTAAATTCCCAACCTGCTCCTCCTTTGTACGCATATGTCGTGGTTTAAACCCAGTCAGGTAACTTGTTCACTCACTCCCAGTGAGTGGTGCCGAGCTGACAACAATCGAGGTCCGTGTCCCCCCCCCCCCCCACCAGGGTTCTCCCCTTCCCCGCTCCCGGAGGAACGGGGAGGAGGATCGAGAGAGTGCAACTCCTACGGGTTGAGACAAAAACAGTCCAGCAACAAATCACCACCACTACTATCAGCTAAAACAATGATAAGGGAAAATAACAAGGGAAGAGAATACGATACCACCGGCCAAGAAGGCGAGTTCCACCCGGAAGCCCCTGTCCTTCCGGGTAACTCCCAGTTACCCCTCACCCCGGGCATGACGTGCTGTGGTATGGAATACCTCCCCGGCTAGCCCGGGTCAGGCGCCCCGTCTCTGCTTCCTCCCGGCTTCCCCTCCTCCCTGGCAGAGCATGAGCCTCACAGAGTCCTTGGTCAGGGTAAACATCACTTAGCAACAACCGAAAACATTGGCTTCACCAACACTGTTCTCAAACTGGAAGTCAAAACACAGCACTGCACCAGCTAACACAAAGGAAAAACATGACTGCCACTGCTGAACCCAGGACATTATCCACCCTTTATTCCATACCATTCACGTCGTGCTCAGATGATCCCACATTTTCAATACACCATCGCTCTCCCACATATATACATCCATATACATACAGACCAAGAGGAAAAAATCATTTTCTTAGTGCATGGACCAATCCCTATAATGCTGCCGAGTCCATTCGGTCCATGATGTTCAAAGCTCATTCTCTGTTGGGATGATGGCTGGAGGGAAGTCAGGCCAGTCGCTGGTGACCTGGAGACATCTAGTTGATGGGCTATAAAAGCATTACACAGCAGGCAACAGCATACAATTGAGTTCACTGGCTGTTTTCCCCTAAAATCAAATCCCCTTGAGGTATACATCGGACTTCCCCATCTTCCCGCATTACCCACCAAGTATATCCAGGTCCCTGAGCAAAAGCAATCCCACGAGTGGGTTTGCCTTTACCTGAAGCAGGAATTACCCAGACTGTCTTCCCCAGCAAATTCTTCATATGCACCACGGGAACTTTGTCCCCCTCTACAATATGTAAAAGTTCTGACTAGGCTGGGCCGGGCCGGCCTTGTTGGCAGATCCTCTGGTGTTGACCAACCAGGTGGCCTTTGGTAAGTGTGTATCCCAATGCTTGAAAGTTCCCCCACCCATTGCTCTCAGTGTAGTTTTTAACAGCCCATTGTACCGTTCGATTTTCCCAGAGGCTGGTGCATGGTAGGGGATGTGATATACCCACTCAATGCCATGCTCTTTGGCCCAAATATCTATAAGGTTATTCTGGAAATGAGTCCCATTGTCTGACTCAATTCTCTCTGGGGTCCCATGTCGCCACAAAATCTGTTTCTCAAGGCCCAGGATGGTGTTCCGGGCAGTGGCATGGGGCACAGCGTATGTTTCCAGCCACCTGGTGGTTGCTTCCACCATGGTAAGCACATGGCGCTTGCCTTGGCGGGTTGGTGGCAGTGTGATATAGTCAATCTGCCAGGCCTCCCCATATTTATACTTCAACCATCGTCCTCCATACCAAAGAGGCTTTAACCGCTTGGCTTGTTTAATTGCAGCACATGTTTCACACTCATGAATAACCTGGGCAATAGTGTCCATTGTTAAGTCCACCCCTCGGTCACGGGCCCATCTATATGTTGCATCTCTGCCCTGATGGCCTGAAGTGTCATGGGCCCACCGGGCCAAAAATAATTCACCTTTATGTTGCCAATCTAAGTCCATCTGAGCCACTTCAATCTTAGCCGCTTTATCCACTTGTTGGTTGTTCTGGTGTTCCTCAGTGGCCCGACTCTTGGGTACATGGGCATCTACATGACGTACCTTCACCACCAGGTTCTGCACCCTGGCAGCAATATCTTTCCACAGTGCAGCAGCCGAGATGGGTTTACCTCTGCGTTGCCAGTTGCTCTGCTTCCATTGCTTCAACCACCCCCACAGGGCATTTGCCACCATCCATGAGTCAGTATAAAGTACTGGCCACTTTTCTCGTTCAGCAATGTCCAGGGCCAGCTGGATGGCTTTCACCTCGGCAAACTGACTCGATTCACCCTCTCCTTCAGCAGTTTCTGCAACTTGTTGTCCAGGACTCCATACAGCTGCCTTCCATCTCCGATGCTTTCCCACAATACGGCAAGAGCCATCAGTAAACAAGGCATACTGCTTTTCACTTTCTGACAGTTTATTATATGGTGGGGCCTCTTCAGCGCGCATCACCTCCTCCTCTGGTGACATTCCGAAATCTTTGCCCTCTGGCCAGTCCATGATGACTTCTAGAATGCCTGGACGACTGGGATTTCCTATTCGAGTTCGTTGTGTAATTAGTGCAGCCCATTTACTCCATGTAGCATCAGTTGCATGATGTGTAGAGGAGACCCTGCCTTTGAACATCCAGCCCAGCATGGGCAACCGGGGTGCCAGGAGGAGCTGTGCTTCAGTGCCAATCACTTCCGAAGCAGCTCGAACCCCTTCATAGGC